TCATCATTATTGTTTAATTTATATTATTAAGAATATTAAACAATCACATTAACCATATAATAAAAATTTAGATTTTTTTCTTTATATGTTATATTTTAATTTTTTAAACAACTCTAAATTACTAAATGTTAAAAATTTTACAATGAAGATTTTGTGAAAAAATGGTTTTTACTTTTTGTTATAGAAAGATACAAATGATCATAAAGTATATAAATATGAAGTATCATTTAATATATATTCAAATTAAATAAATAAATAAATATATATATATATAATATCATTTAAATTAAAGTAAAGAACATATAAAAATACATAAATCATTTAATTTCGAAATGTACATTTAAGACTTCACACTGAATTTTTTTTTATTGATGGTTTAATTTCTCTTACAAAATTTAAAAAAAATCACATGAGTAGGAACTAGGAAACTTCAATTAAATATTCATATTAAAAATTTAATATATATATATATATATATTTATGTCAATATGATTTAAATTTAAGTATATAGCATATAAAATAAATAAAATGATTGATTTAATTTATTTACTTTGATTTATATGTTTACTGTAATTTAGTTATATATATAATACTTACTTGATTCTCAATTATTCAATATATTATCATTTCATAATATGTAAATGAATATAAAAATAAATAATAAGATATAAAACTAATTTGTATATACATATATTTGTTCATTCCACGCTGATCAGTTGTTTTAACAAACATATAAATAGACTTAACATCAATTGAAGACAAGTTTAAATTATAGATCAACCTATTTTTTTATGATCACTTGAACATTTTAAAATGGAATCAAGTGGTGTTATACACATCAATTCTGGATCCGACTACTTCTTGGAACTAAATTATCACAGACCAAATAAAATGTAAATGTCCGTTGAATGCCCTAATCAATTACGTACCAAAATGTAATTTTCCTCACAGCACTCTCTCTTTTGTAGACTGGCTTTCAACCAGCATGATTCTTTCTAAAAAAAAAAACAGCATGATTGCACGCCATGAATTCCGTTAATCATATATTAGAAACTAAATTGAAGAAGTGTACCACGACTAGGTACAAACGAGTAGCGAAAGAAGAATTCGTCAGCCGCGTAACAATGCATCATATTTATTCGACCGCGTATTTATGTTTCTTGTTGAAGAACAATAAATTTGGATTCGCTCTACGATTAATTTCCCCAACAATATAGTTCTACTTTTAGAATTTATGAACTTTTTAATTATTAAACGATATGTGTTTCTTTGGATGCGTTCTATGATTAATTCTCCCAACAATATAGTTCTACTTTAGAATTTATGAACTTGTAATTATTAAACGATATGTGGAGATGTGGATGTTATACGAAAAGTCACCTCTTCTTATCTTTTAAACGATTATACGGAAACCACCCTCAACTTTGATAAGAAAAATGTCACTTAACTATGTGTTGATCATAAGTTTGTCAATCTCTGACCGATCTTGACCGTCTCAAATTCAACTTTTGTTTGGGGTCAGTCAGAACTCAAAAGTGTGTTGTTGTATAGTTTTCATTCAGTGCTGCTTGAAAACAATTGTTTAATTTTTGGACTGATAATAAATACAGTCACATATTATTATCAAAAAATATTTGATAACTTCTACTCCTTCCGTTTCGGAATATATGTCATTCTATACTTAATTTTTTGTCATAAATTAAGTGTCGTTTTAAAGTTTCGAGACAAAATTTATTAGTGTTATATAATATTCCCTCCGTTTCGAATTAGATGTCATTCTAGAGAAAAAAATTCGTTTCAAAATAAGTGTCGTTTTAGAGTTTCGAGACAGAATTTATTAGGTTTATATGATATTCTATTTTTCTATTGGTTGAAAAGTGGTTAGGTGTATTAGTAATTGTGTTTTTATATTGAAAATGTGTAAAATTAAATGTTTCCTTAATCTGTGTGTAAAAACCTAGAATGACAAATAAATTGAAACGGAGGGAGTATTCTATTTTTCTATTGGTTGAAAGTTGTTAGGTGTATAGGTAATTATGTTTTTATTTTGAAAATATGTAAAATTAAATGTTTTCTTAATCTGTGTGTAAGAACCTAGAATGACAAATAAAATGAAACGGAAGGAGCATAATTTATAATAAACAAATAACAATTAGAACCCAAGATTTATACAAGTATAAGCATTTCACATTTATATTCACATTTATTTTGCTTTTATATAAGTAATCAATAGTGGGGTATGGATGTTTAAAATATTTTTGCTACAACTGTTGTTATAATGGTACTACTTATAGATATATGTATTAATTCTAAAAGATATTTAGTGATAGTTAGACTTTTCTGATTTGCAAAAAATAATAAGGAAGTAGACAAATAAACACTCAAGTCTTTGGTCATAGATCCTCCAAGAAAATATTTATGTCTTTGTTTTACAGGCACAAAGTCAATTGATAAGTATGAAACAAAAGTCAATGTATATTAAACACAAACTAACTGAAGGTGCTCATACTTTAAACCTACTTGTGAACGATAAAAAACAATAAATAAATTTTCAAAAGATTTTAATCACATAGGTTTTGAATAATTATTATGTCAGCCATGTAGGTTTTTGTATAAGCTATTAATAAATTAATACTATATGGCTGTAATCCACGGACCATGGAAGAGAATTTAGTATCTAGGAATAATTAAGTTTGTAACAAGTGGACATACCATTAGTGACATATTACATACTAATATACTCACGAATAATTAGTCCTAAAAACTTGTATTCTGCGTCTATTGTTTTCACAACCACGTGATTTTTCCATTAGCGTCTAATTACCAGATTTAAACTTCCATTAGTACCAAAATAGATTTTTTTACTAAAATAAGTTGAACAATAATTTATACCTGTATAATATTTTATTTGTTTAATCCAAATGCTAAAGTTCTTATGTTTAATCTAAATGCTACACTTCTTATGTTCCGATTCAGCTTTTAATTTTTGGGCTTTTTAGTTGGGAAATAATATCAATTAACATGAAAGAGACTGAATATGCTTTAGGCTGAGTTTATCGGTCTTATTTTGATTTTTTAATGGCTAAATATATCATATTTGTTAATAAACTTATTTATTTGAGTCTAGTTTCTTTATTTTATATAACTTTATTTTAGCCACAATCAAGATTCAAAAATTTAGTTTATTTGAAAACTTTATATTATCAATAAATACTTTTATTAGACTTTTCTATTTTCTTAAGACGAATAGAGATTTCAATTTTATCACAATTTTAATATCATTTTTCAAATTTACTCTTAAATGACAACCACTTTCATAAATATCTAAGTTTGTGATAAAAAAGGTTTAAACTAACCTTTTATCATTTATAAATAAAGAAGAATAATTATAAAACATTATAGAAGTTAATAAACTCAAACCCATCCCCTAAATACTAAACCCTAAAACAATAATCACTAAACTCTAAAGTTAAATTTTTCTAATTGAGTATATTTTTGAAAAACCATAACAAATTTGAGGTATTTCAAATAATTTCTCAAAGAATATCTCTTTCACATATTTTATATGTTAATTATTAATATACAAACATGTTCACAATTATAAACCATGAGCTAATTGCAGATGGTATACATTAAAAATTATATATACAATTTAAATAGAAATGTAAACCGACCGAACCATTTGAAAAAGAATCTAAAATGTATTTTCTGTATAAATTGTTTCAAATTGGATGCTGTTTACAATTTCCAGTATAAGATTTATTAACTATTATGTTATATATATTTTATTATTTATTTTATTATTTCAGTATTGTGATTAGGTAAATAACTAATGGTACTTTTGTTTAGGAAAATATGTATTCTCAGTTTTGTGAACAATTCTAAATGTCAACTATTAAATAAAAATCTAATAAATACTTTTATCCTCAATCATGTTTATTCTTTATTCTTCTTTTCAATGGTAATATTTAGGGGTGGGCGTTCGGGTACCCGTTCGGGTTTGGGTCGGGTATTTTGGGTTTTTGGGTATTTCGGTATTAGGGTTTAGAACTCGTTCAGGTATTTTTACATATCGGGTTGGGTTCGGATATTTTTAGTTCGGGTTCGGTTATTTCGGGTCGGGTTCGGATATTTAGATTTTGGAAGAAAAATTTCAGATTCTTTATTACTTAAGTTTTATGTATTTAAAATTTAACTATTAACTTAACTGTTTTTAAAATGTTCAATAAGTTTGAAAATAAATTATTGAAAAGAAAAATCATTATTTTGGTTGCTATTTTTGAATTTTGGATGCAAATTTTGTTTAAAGTATGAAATAAGAAGCTTAATATGTATTTTAAATAAGTAACAAATCACTTTTTTTACAATTATATGTATATTATCTGATATTAAACTATTTATAACATTAATATAAATAGTTTTAATAAAATGAGAGAAAATAAACTAGAAATAAATAGGTATATATACATATGTTCGGTTATCTTTAGATACCCATTTGGGTTCGGGTATTACCCGTTCGGGTTCGGATATCCAACCTCTCTTAACTTAATACCCGTTCGGATATTTTGGTACTTCGGTTCGGATTTTGGTTTGGATATTTCGGGTCGGGTTCAGGTACGAGTTCGGCTATCGGATAAAGTGCCCACCCCCTAGTAATACTATTTAAAAAAAATATCTTAAAAATAGATAAACGCAAGAGGGTTAGTACTTAAAGTAGGAGGCCCTCCTTTGTCTCTACTTAAGAGCCAAAATTGCCCCTTTCCTTGACTTAATTCCAATTAAAAACAACTCACAGCGATGGCTAATCTTTGGTCAAAATCTCACACGCTTTTTTCTTTGCATGCCCTTCTACACGTGCTCCATCACTCTCTCTCAAATGAGCTGGCTCAAGAACTAAAAGGGCTCCCTTCAGGAAACTCCCTCAAATGTCGCTCTCTCTCTCTCCACTGCCTATAAAACCAAATCATCTTTCCCACTTGAGTTTCCATCTCAACACAACACAAAACAAACACCTCCATCAGAGAGAGAATCGCACACACTGTTAAAACACGAATTGGGTTTTTGTTCAAAATTAAATACAATGGATTTTTCCGGCATGTTTCTCATTTTCTTCGCCGCGGCTCTGTTTCTCTGTTTACTCCGGTTAATAGCCTCAACCGTCAGATTCCGCCATAGCTCCTCCACAAAACTCCCACTTCCTCCGGGAACAATGGGTTATCCTTACGTCGGAGAAACATTCCAGCTTTACTCACAAGACCCTAATGTGTTCTTCGCATCAAAACAGAGAAGGTCTAATTTGCACCAACAAAAATTCAAACTTTGTTCTCTTTTTTTTTTTTTTTTTTTTTTTTTTTTTTTTTGAAACATAAAACTTTGTTCTCTAAAAACAAAAAGTTGACTTTTACTATTTCTTTTTGGTAAAACAGATATGGATCGGTGTTCAAGACTCACGTATTGGGATGTCCATGTGTGATGATCTCAAGCCCTGAAGCAGCGAAGTTCGTATTGGTTACAAAATCTCATTTGTTTAAGCCGACTTTCCCGGCGAGCAAAGAGAGGATGCTTGGAAAGCAAGCTATCTTCTTTCACCAAGGAGACTACCATGTTAAACTCAGAAAGCTCGTTTTAAGAGCTTTCATGCCTGATTCAATTAGAAACATGGTCCCTAACATTGAATCAATAGCTCAAGAATCCCTCAGTTCTTGGGACGGAACTCAGCTCAACACTTACCAAGAAATGAAAACAGTAAGCCCCCACACCTTTGTAACTCTTTAAAAAAACAGAGTATCCTCTGTTTTTCCATTACTCTGTCTAAAACAGAGTATCCCCTGTTTTTTTATTTTCTCTGTCTCAAAACAGAGTATGTCCTGTTATTCTATCTCATTTCTGTCTCTGACTCGATCCTTTTGTATCGGCAGTACACTTTCAACGTGGCTTTACTTTCAATACTCGGGAAAGACGAAGTCTTTTACAGAGAAGATCTAAAACGATGCTACTACATTCTCGAGAAAGGTTACAACTCGATGCCGATTAATCTCCCGGGAACACTATTCCACAAAGCCATGAAAGCTCGCAAGGAGCTAGCTCAAATCCTCGCTAAAATCTTGTCAAAGAGAAGACAAAACCCATCAACGCACAAAGATCTTCTCGGATCATTCATGGAAGACAAAGAAGGATTAAGCGACGAGCAAATCGCTGACAACATAATCGGAGTCATCTTCGCGGCAAGAGACACGACCGCGAGTGTGATGACGTGGATCCTCAAGTACTTAGCAGATAATCCAACTGTCCTAGAGGCTGTCACGGTAAGTACATATTTTTCAAAAGGACACGTTAAGAAGATCTCATAACAAGAGTGATAGTTTCGTAATTTAACGGAGTTTTATTGGGTAAAACAGGAAGAACAAATGGCGATAAAGAAAGGCAAAACAGATGGAGAGAGTCTCACTTGGGAAGATACAAAGAAGATGACACTAACTTCTAGAGTTGTCCAAGAGACAATGAGAGTTGCTACAATCTTATCTTTCACTTTTAGAGAAGCTATCGAAGACGTTGAATACGAAGGTATATACAAAATATACACACACTAGATCGGTATTTATATCATCAATATGTTACATATCAAATATGCTAAAGTTTGAATCTTGTTAACAGGATACTTAATACCAAAGGGATGGAAAGTATTGCCACTATTCAGAAACATTCATCATAATGCCGATTTCTTTTCGAATCCCGGAAAATTTGATCCATCAAGATTCGAAGTTGCGCCAAAACCGAATACATTCATGCCATTTGGGAGTGGGATCCATTCTTGTCCTGGCAATGAATTAGCTAAACTTGAAATCTCCATTCTAATCCATCATCTCACCACTAAATACAGGTTGGTTACCTATGAAAATCATGTCTAACGTTGACTCGAATTTTTTTTTGTTTTGGAGATAATTTGGCTTATTAATGGTGTTTTGATATTTTTTAGGTGGTCGATCGTGGGACCGAGTGATGGAATTCAGTATGGACCGTTCGCTCTTCCTCAAAATGGATTGCCTATTGCCTTGGAACGAAAACAAGAGGCTGACGTGTAAAAAATTACAGAAGTACCCATTAGCTTTCTAAAATTAGAAAGCGAGAACTTTAAAGAGATCAGTTCTCTTTTATTTCATTGACTAAGAAACAATAATACAGAAATGAAAAAGAATAATTAGGAAAAATCCCAAATGGGACCCCCAAGTGTACATACATTTTAGTTATTGTTATTACAATTTTTAGTTTAGATTTAGTAAACGTAGAGAATTAAATTTTGGGATTTGTCTTTGTTATGTCTCTTAGTTGTAAATTCTTTTGTTACCAATGTTATAAACACCATTTATGGAATTCTCAGTTAAGAAGTTATCAACTTCTAGTTCGTTAGCTCCGACTCCAAAAATCTCTCAAACAGTTGTCAACCCTTAAAATTCATTTTCCCAGATCTGACTTCTTTGACATTCTTCGGTGGTTGTCGTTCCTTGTCAACGCCAGAGAGGAACTCTTCTTGATTATTTTTAATTTTTGCTCTTTCTTTTAACTTCTTCAAATCTCTTTTAATAGCTACCGAGTCTTTTAGTTTCTTTTGGTATTGTTTCTTTGTTGACAAGGTGGATGGTTATGGACGCAAAGGGTGGTGTTCAAAGGTTGCCAATTTGGCATCTCGTCGCTAGTTGGCTAGGAATTTTTTCAACTAGGATTTGAGAATGCATTCCTTGCTCTTGGTCTGGGGTTGATTGTCGGTTGAGTTAGAGTTTGATTGATGTGAGTAGTGATGGCTCGTTTCTTTGATATGCTTCGCGGTGGAAGTAATAGTTGATTAGATATGGTGTTATTTGATTATTTGGAATTGTTCGGTTGCTTTTCATTCGAGGTTATAGATTTTTAAATAATTTGACTCTCTTCTCCCTCTCTCTCTCTCTCCTTGCTGTAAGATTGTGTCTTGCTTTTACTTAGCCTAGTTGTGGTTGTCTTACATGATCTGGATGGATGTATTCGAATATGTCAAACATATGATTTTGTCTTAATAAATGTGGATATTTTCTGTTTTGATTTGTAACCAAGGTTATTTTATTTGTCTTGTGGAGATCTAGTGGTTTTATTTGTGTTACAACATGGTTAGTATGGGCGGAAACGGAGCAAATAGTACCCTTATTTTTTAGTATTTGTGATTTGCTTCTTATTTTACGGATATCTGATTTTCCAGTTTGCTTTACTTAGGAAAAATATGGATATCCGGTTTTTCAGATATCTAGAAAATTTACAGATATTTGTGATTTTTACACATATCTCATTCACTTTATTCAATACAATTAAATCTAAAAAGTGTACTTTTAAATCATATAAAATCTAAGTAAAATTAGTGAAACTATATGTTTCATAAATTTTAAATTAATTATTTTTATCAAACATAAAATTATAGAAATTTTTAGTTTTTATAAAGATTCTATACTCATTTCTTAATTTAATAAATTTATGAATAAAATTAATAAAATTATATGTTAAAAATATAATTATACATTTAAACTCTATATGTAATTGTAGATATACATCTATCTAAATAAAGTTTGGAATGGAGCGGATATCCTACTCTAACATTTTATAGTATGTGTGATTTTTTTTTAGTTTTAGTGGATATTTATTTTAATATACGTTTTGGTTTAAAGGTTTACATATATCAAAATTTTTATGGATTGAATCGTAATGAATAACAAATGGAATAAAATTTAACGGATAAAATACTCATCTCTAATGTTTAGAACTAAAGAAGTGTGGCGTTAGGCTGAGTGAACTTTGAAACTTTACTAAAATTATATGTTTGACTCTTTGGGTAAGAAATTTCCACAAACAAACTTTTCTGAATTGTTTTAATCCGCAGTTTGGCGGTCGAATCGTTCTTCCGATGGATTTCTTCAAGATGTGACATATTTTGTTTTGATTAAATCGCTTATCTACGAAAAGATTGCAACTGTTATCAGATTTTGGTTCAGAAAATAATATACTCTATACTAGTTTGTGTAAAATTTCAAGTTATTAATCTAGTTCAATAAATGACAAGAAAATTCTACAAAAATAATTTCCAAAAAAAGTTGCAGTATTCAGTAATATTCTGCTAAATTTGCACGCTTACAAAAGAAATAACTAAAGTTTTCATGTATGGCGACTATTTTGGTCAAACTTCTTTTACCAATGTACCTTTTTTTTAGCATCAAAAGACTGATCTATACTCAAACTTGAGGTGGTCTAGGAAGCCAAACCGTAATAGAACAACCAACATACAAAAGATCTCGATAGAAGGATCGAGAAGTTTTAGCTAAAGAATCAGAAACAACATTCTGCGTCCTAGGAAGATAGAAGATATTGAAATCAGGGAAACAGATCCACAGCGTTGTAAGCTTTTCCAATTCCGTTGAGAAACTTGGCTAGTCTTGAGGATTCCTAAGCATCACTATCATCTCTTTGCAATTCGTCCCAAAGCTCTGACATGGAAATGTTGAAGCATATTCTCCATTGTCCACCGCAGTGCTTCCAGCTCAGAGTGCAAAGCCGATTCCATCCTACTAAAATTATGCATACCCATTAGCTGACTATTTCCCATACTATTATTCCAAACCCAACCACATCCACTGCACCGAGCTGTAGAGGTTCAAGAATCGTCTACCATACAAATATTTCCCAAACTTATGTCCTAGCTTTCAACATTTATGGTTTCTTGGAATGGCGAAATAGTCTGTTCATTTGCTTGGTACCAAAATACCTTATTCACAGTAGTTAGTAATATTTTATTAAATTTTGATCACACTTACAAAAATAATGATCTAAAGTTTTCATGTATGCTATTTTGTGTCAAACAAAATTTTGGTAACCGAAGTAACTAATTTGTGGTAACCGAAGCTACAAAAAAGGTTAACTAAATTTTTCATGTATGCTATCTTGTGTCAAAAAAATTTAATAACCGAAGTAACTAAATTTGGGTTTGGTTAGGTTCAAATATATCTGTTTAGCTTTAAATCTCATGCCTAATTTTCAGTACAAAAAGAAATCATATAAGAGTATAAAAAATATGTGAAATCCATTAATAGAATCATGACCAATACTTTACCATTCACTTGGTTACTCTTTTTATTGGGTTCTTCCATTCACTTGGTTATCTATGTAAGTTGTAGCACTAGTTATTAGATAATACTAGTAAAGTAGCTGGTCAAAAGAATTCAATACATTTTTCGAAAAGTAAATCTCAAATAAACGGTCCTGGATAATGTGATAAGGAAAAGAAGTTGGGATGATAACACGTTTCGGATTCGAAATACTATATGAAATTAAGTCACATTGTTCATAGACACTTATATAGATATGGATCTATTTTTCGAACTCATTTACATATCTGGAAAGAATGTCTAT